TTGCAAGCCTGAATGAAATCCCAAATTGTGCATCACCTAAGGTTGTGCTTCATCTAAGGTTTTGATGAGTAGACTGTTGTCCTTCAACAGGGATCTGTTACCACATTAACACTGATAGATTTGAAAGAAGGACTGAGGTGTAAACTTCCAATTCTTTAAGTAAAACATATATACTTATATTTAGGTATAAGTATGTAGATATATCTATACATGACTTAGGAGTATTTGAAAAAATAGAGAAAATCCTCACGACTATTACTTCTTGATGCCTTTATCTCACCACTTGGTCTTAAATGAGAAAATCCGTCATGTTATGGAACTGCGATGGTCTGATCTTCCTGGTTCTTCAGCTGGATTTAAACTGCTTGCTTAGGATAGGAACTTGGAAGCAAATTAAAGAGGGTTTTTTTCCTGCATAGGCGTGCTTGGTTTGTTTCCTTGAATCTTATGTTCTTGTACTCATTGACTGTTTTTGACCTTGATGTGAGTTGCTGGTGCACATGTTTTGTTTCGTTAACATATTTTTATTCTCTGACTTAGCATCTTTATCTGTCAAAAAATTGCAACAAGATAAAATAATTTCCAACTCTCTTCTTTCAAAAGAGTTCTTGTTTTGTGCTAGTGATCCAAATTGCTATGATACGACTCGGTGTGCTGCTCATAGCTTGCTCTTGAGGTTAACTCAGATTCCGCCTGTTTCTTTGTTTCCTGTGTCTCTTTGTGCTTGCTCCACATTTGTGGATATGCCCTTAAACTGAGTGTTTGCATGTGCCTTACATAACTTCATTGTTCTGTTCTTGTTGCCTTCTTTCATCTTATTTCTTCTGGAAACAGCGCTAAAGGAGTTCCATTTTCTTCATTTACACTTGCCACCTTCTGTTCTGTTTGCAGTACTTAAGAAGGAACTTCATTTATTCATCTGGTAGGTGAGGAGAGGATGTTGAGCAAGCAGGGAAGCAGTCCAGGCAGCTCTGATCCTTTGAGAAAGTCTCTGATGAGAATGATTCAACCCTGGAATGAACAAATGCTAAGCAACACTGTTTATCTTATTTTGATATTCAAGAGGGCCAAGAGTTTCTTGAGTGTTTACAATGCATTTGCTGTGTGTTGGCAGTATCTAGGAACAGATCAAACACTGCTCTGAGGTTTCATATCCTAGCCCAGGGCTGGTGAGCCACCAACACTCAGTCAGCCTTTAAGGGCTACCAACACTCTACACAGAGAGGATTTGTAGAAAAAATAGGAAAATGAACCATAAAAGGACCACACCAATCTAGTTTTGTTTCTCATAACTGCTATTAATCAGGTAAAATCAGGCTAGACTGAATGTGTAGGTGAGCCAGGTGGATGAATCCCACTGCAATTAGCTCTCTTAGACAAGAGGAGGAGATGGCATTAGGATGGTTGGTCTTCCCAGAGTTGTTCTGTAGCGTTTGCCCTTAGCTAGGTGTTTCTACCCAGCTCGCTCCTCTGCTGGGTTAATTTTTAAATCTGACTGATGTTAAGCTTTTTTGTAATGCTTACAGTGCATCTGAGTGAACTTGATTATTCCACTTTGCCCAGTTGCAACTGAGCAATTAACATTTTCAGCCAACAATCTACACTTGAAATCTAAACTGTTGCTATGTTCATACGTCACGGATTGCCCTCTGCTGACTTGGGAATGCAATGAGGAAGAACAATCTCGTAGGTGACTGAATCTGAAATTAACCTTCCACTTGACTGGTGGCATTTGTAAAGTGTTGTGCAGCGTGTTCAAGAAAAAACAGACCAGAGAATAAAGCATTTTCTAAATTTTAAGGTCTGACTAGCTCTGTTATCTAGGTGTTGTCCCATCTCGCAGGACAGCCACAGGAGCTCAGGATTTGTAGAGTTGGGCTTTGGATCCTGCTAACGCTGTGCAGGGTTGCTGTGTGTTGGTGAACCAAGGCATAGTGCGTCACGCCGTGGGGATGTCGAGAAGAAAAGTTCAGATGGCTTTTGGGCTGACCAACCCACAAACAGTTCGAATATGGCTCTCCTGTAGGAGACATGCAGTGTGATTAGCAGTGGAGCTCGTTGATGCAAGGACTTCTAGCTCACCTCAATGTCCTTCCAGTGGAAGGAGGCAAAGTGACAGTGGATGGTACAGAAGCAAGAGCCGCAGTGGGATGTGGGTGCTTACAGCAGTTCCCCTGGTGTCTGACAAAGCCGCATCCTGGCTCCATGCTATGTTGTCATGATATGGAGCTGAAGGTGCTGGTAGACCCGAAAGAGCCAGTGGCAGAAGTGCAGCCTGAAGATCTGGACTGTAGGGATGTTGTGACCCTTCTCAGACATACCCCACGAATCTGCCCTAATGCTTTAGGTGGGCATTCCTTCACCTGGTCCTAGCACCTCATGGACAAAGCTTGCAATCAGAAGCTGGTGTCTGGATAAATCGTGTGGAATACCTGAGTGAAGTCACCCTTTGAAAGAGTTGAAGATCATAAATATGGCCTTTTTGTTGTTGTTTGTTTGTGTTTTTTTTTTTTTTTCTTTTAACTTTTTTTCCAGGCAGGCCAGTGGCAGGTGTGGAGAAGGGTTTGCCATAGCTCTGGGTGACACAGGCTTGCTGCAGAGCTTGTGTTAGATAGGTGTTGCTGTGTCTGCAGCCTGGATGTAAATGCTGTTCCGGTGTGAATCTACAGATGACATTTGGATTCCAGATAAGTCTGCTCTAAATGAGGCTGAACATGAAGGAGAGGTACCTTTTAGAGTTACTTTGATCTGTGTAACTTAGATTCTGAAGGATACTTACATAAACACTGCACTGCACGATCCCACCATGGCAGCTTATGGCGAGAGGAGTAGTTACGTGCCTGCTAAGTGCCTCCAGCATAGCAATTTAGGACAGCTTGTGAGGCAGCTCTTCAGCCTGTTTGGTGTTACGTGTTGAGAGACTGCTCTGCAGTGCAAACTTGGCTGCGTTGGTGCTTCTGGAAGTGATGCTGGCCAAAAGCACATCCCTCAAAGTGATCAGAAATTCTTCTCTTAAACTCACGTCGCACGTGGTGATCTCTGACTGTCCTATAGCAACCTAACAGGACATCATGGCAATGATGTACTGAAATAGGCTTTTTGATGGTAGCAGGGTGGCCTTGTTTAAACCTAATCCTCTTATGAGAAGGCTGGCAGCCAAATGCGAGGAGATGCAGAGATGTAGAGGAGTATTGAAGAGTTGATGTAAGCAAAGTCAGCTAAAATTTTAACTCCTGACCTTGGTTTTAATTTTAACTCTTTACATTTACCCACCAGGATAAAGAGTTTAAGTGTGAAGTTTAAAAGGAAAATAATGATTTAGGATGGTAGCTGTATGAGAGCTGTGAAAAATGGATGGGAACTATGAAGGTTAAAAACCAATAATAAAATCTTAGATTGAATATTTAAGTGCTTCTCCATGCTGTGAAGTGGAATCTCAGCTGCAGGTCTGTTCATCTAGGAGTAGGAAGGGAGAAAAGATGTGGATGGATAACAAAGCAGGCAGAATGCCTCTGCCTTTGTTGGAAGTGGGCTGTGTGGTGCAATAGCTCTTTTCAATTTTTAACTTTTGTGTTCCTGTAAAACAAACAAAAGACTTACTATTCATGTTCTCCACTCTGTTGCTGCCTCCAGATGTTCTGCAGTGATGGTTATCGCTTCAGTTCTGACCTTTAGAAGAGAAAGGCTGGCTGCATGCATGTTAGAAAAGTATAAGCAGAGTATGCATGTACATGTGTAAATATAAGAGCAAAATGTCCTCTACCATGTGCCTCCTAGTTCTTAGATCTTCACGTTTGTTATTTTGAGACTTGAAATGCTTCTTATAATAGCAGTTTGTGCCAGAACTGCTAGTAATGGCTTTCCAAAATGAAGGGAACTAAAATTTGCAAGGTATTTTGCCATCAGTAACTTTCGTAGTCCTTCTGTACTTGTGAGGTTAATTTAATTTTGGTGGTGGTTTCATTGTCATGTTCTGTCAAAGCATAAGACTTAACTGTTGTTTTTTTTTTTTTTTTTTTTTTTCATCTTGTGACTAGGAAGCGATTCTGCGCTGTGTTTTGTAGTGGTGGCTGTTCACAGCTATTCTTGGAACGTTTTTAAAACCATGCCGAGTTGGCATAGCATGCGGTCTCTTGAGTTTTGCGTTCCGAAGTTAAACCGTTGAGGTGTTTATATAAGTAGGCTACTCTTACACCTACTACTTTTTGTCTTTTAAAAAGATACACAGCAGGATTTAAAGGGCTTACAACCCTTTGAAGAGAAGAACAAATTCATTTTAGGAGAGGCATTTCTTATGAAACGATGAGAAACTCACAGCTTCCTTTAGGGAGGCTGAAAGCTTAGCTGAACAACGCCAGTCAGAACTTTGGCTGTCCACGAATTACTCAGCAGGGTGGTAAGAAAATTCTGTATGTTTGGGTTTCCCAGGACGCTTCCACTGTTTCACAGCCAAAAAATCTGGTCTGGGCAGGAAAAGAGGGCCTCAAACATCTGAGCTGTTCATTGCGTGAACCGAGCTGCAGGGCACAGAGCTGTGTCAGATTTTGCATACAGGGGACAAGACTCCAGAGGTTCATCTGCTGTGGCTGAGAGTCGTCGGGCTTGCCAGATAGGCAGAGCACGTGTGTGTGAAGTTTGAAATGTCTTGGTTGTCTGTGGATCTAGAGGATGTAACAGCAAGCTTACAGGGGGATCTTGGAAGCAAGGCTGGGAAACGCAGGAGGTATCTCGGAGGTTGATGGAAGGACAGCATAGGAGGACTTGTGCCGATATTGTGTCTGCTCAAGTGTTTGGACAGTAGGTTTTTTGTTTTTTTTTTCCCCTGCTCTGGTGGATTTGATCCCAACCTTGTCTGTTATTGCCAAAAACTAACAAAAAGAAGTGTAGTACTTACCTGTGTTTGGCTTTTACTGCAGCCATTAATCAAAAAGGATGTATTGTGAATGCCATACCTGAATATGTGCAGCTTAATCTCTCTTCCTTATCTCTTCCTCTCTCAGTACCAGACATTGCCCTTGCAAAATGAACCAGCTTCCTCCGAAGAGTCCTTTGGTATCCCCGTTGTCAGAGAGCGTCACTTCCAGGGTAGATTCTTTGGACAACTTGTCAATGGACAGTTTTTGGCTGGAAGTAGAGAACATTAAACAGAGCACTGAAGCCGAGCAAGAGGAATGCAGCCTTGCAGATGTCAAAGCACAAGAGGGTAGGTTGCCAAAAACATCGGGAGTGAGGGGAGGAAGGAAGATGTTCATCTTTGAAAATTTTCTTATGCACCTGAATGGTTGAAAAGCATGATGGCATATGGTTAGAATGTTACCTGGCAAGTCAGTTATGTTTATATAGAGATTATTTTTTTTTCACTGGATGATGGCTAATTCCATGCAGAAGAGGAGTGCTGGCCTCACCTAGTTTCAGCTTCTGAAAAAAAGCTGACTGAAGATGGGTGAGAAGTACGTTCATGGCTCCAGACTTTTTAAAGCAGCCACCACTAAGTGTGGGTGCCCTCATTCCTTGTGCACCAGCTGTGTGGTGAGCATGCCTTGACAGCTAACAGCATTTAGGAAGGGTTGTTTGTGTACGTGGTCCTGAGACTTTATCATAGTGGCTTTTACGAGAGCTGCCTTTGTGGAAGGCAGACTTGCACCCTCTGATTCTCTGTTAAAGGAACCATAACACCGAGTATGACAAGAGTACATCCACACAAGACTTTTCTGATATTGCTTTTAATTTTCTTTTCTTTTAAAGATCACTTTATGCATGTGGGGTGTTTCAGTTGGGCTTTCTAGAGCATTGGTTTTATCCAGGATTTTGGAATAATTGGAGTCTGTACCGATTGCCTTTTGACATGAGAGTTAAAATAAATATCCTGGGGTGTCGGAAGACTGATGAGCACCAGGCAGTTCCATGGTTGGGGCTCTCACATTTCCTGTGTCCATTCCAGATGATGGGATTGCAGCCTGCACAGCCTACAGCTGTTGTTCTGGCCTGATACTGAGAAGGATCTATGAGTGTAATGGAGAAATGTCTGAGTGAAAGTCCCGGTGTGATGCTATGTTTGGGAAGGGTAAATAACTATGCTGGGTTCATAAAGGGGCCCTGGAGAGTAGGACAGGAAGATAATCTGCGCTGGCCATAATGGGCAAGACACAGAACATCAAGGCCCACTGTCGGGCATCAAAGATTTAAGCTTGTGTTTTGGAAGTGGAAGAGATACAAAAGTGACTCAGAAACTGACTGCGTCAGGGAGGAGACTCTGGAAAAGAGGGCATGCCATTAGATGAAAGGCTGTCTAGGATATCCGAAATACTGATATGCTAGAGGCAATTTGGTTGCTGTGTGTAAGCAGGGACACAAAGAAAAGTTTCCTGTAATGCTGTGCGTTAATCTCGTAGGTAAGAGCTAACTGCTTAATTAGCACTTGTAACCAGACAAACTTGAAGTAACGCTCCCGGTGGCGAAGCCTTCCTGGCAGGCCGGGGAGGGCGGCGCGGTGTGCACAGCCTCTGGATGCCTTCTGGGATGGAGTACAGCCAGCAAGCCTTGTGCTCGAAGGGTAGATAATGAGGGGAAACTCGAGGCTGGCCTAAATGCAGGAGGCCAGGCTGGGCTGGTGCCTCCTGGCTTTGTGTCTCTGTAGCCTCCAGCCGGAGCCAGGTGAGGTGGCCGCGCGGCTGGGCCGCTTCAGGCCGAAGGCACTGCTGCTGTTTGCATACAGGCTGAGAAGCTGGGCTTGGGCAGCAGGTAATAGCTCTGTCTGGAGCCGGTGACGAAGTGCTGATAACCATCACGGCGCGGAGGCTTCGTGCAGATAAGGCATCGCACAAACGCTGACCCAGTTGGAAGGTGATGAGCCCCGCGTGAGGGGTGGTGAAATGGGAGGCTGCTCGTGGCCTCCCACTGACAGCTGGTCAGCCTGTAACCTTGGGGAAGAACTGGGTCAGCAGAAAGGTGCTGGGGTTTCGTGCTTGTGGCCTCACCCACAGTTGAAATGGGCAAAAACTGGCTTTTTTCTCCAACAGGAGTAGTGTAGGTTTTTCCTAGCTGCTTGCTCCAGCTATCTCCAAGGCCCATGGTACAACAGATGTATGCATTGTGCGTGGTGGTGGCACTAAAGTATCTGTTAGTATCCTCATAACATGCAGATATTTCCAAGAAACATCTGCAAAGGCTGTTTCTTCTCTTCCTCTGAAAAATAAGTGGGAAGTTGTACATAATGTTTGTCTGATATCGTAGGATGTTTAGCTGTCATTCAATTTTTTGGAAACTAAACATAATTATTATGAATATTAGTTTTGGTTAGCTCATGTTTCAAGTCAGTTCTTGCAACTGGTGTTCTTTAGTTTTCATATTTATTCCCATTTGTACCTCCTTCCCCAAATGTTGCTTGTCCAGATCTCACAAGACAAATGTTTAAAAACTCTCCAGGCTTGAATCTGCAGCCAGACTGCTGTGGACTTCTCAGTTCTGGCCTATTCCTCTCTGATTTTCCTCTTCTTCCCATAAATAACCTATTTTACTTGTTTCCCTTTGTGTTACTGGTAAACATAATTGGGCCAAAAATATTAAATTGAGAAATTAACATCTGAGCTGCTTTGGCATCAGATGGAGCAGTAGGCTTAAACGGATGTCCGACTCGTGGTCTTCTGCTTAGTGTTGTGTATTAGATTAGTTTCCTGTTATGACTGGATTTGGATATTTTCAAAATTTGCAAGCAATACTCTAACTTCCTGTAGTTCCCAAGGACAAAATAAAGAAGTCTTTTGCACGCTGTGCTTCTGTGAAACCACGGATGTAGGACAAATAGCTGTATAGGGGGAATTAACTAATGTGATTGAGTCCCAACCCTACACACGCATGAGTAGCTGTAACCAAGTGAGCAGTGCCAGTGGGGATGCTTTTAACTGCTAAGCTTTTGGAGAACTGGATGTGAGAAGTGCCCAAAATCAGTGTGGGAGAGCTAGCCAGTTTGCTATTTGCTCTGGTGTAATGCTCAATAGAGCTCTGTTTTCATGCAACTTGCAAAAAGATACTGTGACTCCAGTAAACTCCTCAGCTTTTGGAGCGTGCTCCTTCCATTCTTAGGTGCTGTGACAAAACAGCAGTCTCTCCAGAAAAAATTAAACAATTTAATCTCATAAGATGATCTGTGTGGCTTTTATTGATGCAACAATAATGAGGTTTTGCCCAAGCAACTGTGATAGATAAGAAATACAAGTCTGCATCAGAAAGAAAGAATGGGAACGAACTATTCAATTTCAGTCAGTTCAGGTTTTTTTTTCCCTGGTATAACCTTAGGTAGAGTTGTGCTGGAGTTGCCTGCAGTGAATGATTGTGGTACTTAAAATTGAAAAGGTAAAGACTCTCTGGTGTTCACACTATTCAAGTTGAAGCCAGCTGCTAAATTGCTGCTTTTATCCTTGGATTTCAAGTAACTGCCATGCTCTGGGCACTTTCCCACTTGCACAAAAGGCACATCCTATAAGGGAAAATTGTCTTCCGTGTTTGAAGTGCTACTTTTGTATTGGAGATTGGCATGGAGTTGAGCTTGTTTGAATAATGCTGCTGTTACTGTCTCCAGGCTTGTCACACTTTACTTTGGAACTGGAATGGTCTTTAATTTTAGAGGTGTTTTGAGTAGATACAGCCATAAGTGAATGCACAGAGCAAGAATAATACTCTTGCCTAATGTCTGTGTGGGTAGCAATCCACTTAAAAACATAATACAGTAAAGGAGCAGTGATAGTGCATGCAAATAATTCTGCAAGTGTATTAAATAAAATCCATTTGAATCTATCAGACCAGTATCTGGATTTTTTTTAAGTTGATACTGAGGCATGCATATGGATAAATAATAATTAAAAGAAATGGCCAAAGGATTGGGAATTGTATGAAAGCCAAATGGGCAGTGTTAGACGTTGTGTGGTTTCTCACAGACCTTTTGTATGCTGTCAGAGGACCCTTTGTGCCCAGGGAGGCAGTGCTGTTCGCTCTGACTTACTGTACTGGTGTACTTGTGCCTGCTGCCACAGCTCCTCTTTGCATGGATAGTTGGTGTGAAGGCAGACTTGAGCAAGCACAGTTGCCTTTCCTCCCATATCCTGTGAAAGCCCCCACTGGGTTCAGTTCCTCTTGCCGTCCTCATGCTAATGCCATACAGTCACTGTTGTGCCCCTTCTGCCCACCATGTGTATTACCAGGGGCCTGGTAGCACACACATCTCTGTAGTCTTTTTCTCCTCACCCTAGGTGAGGAAAAAGGAGTGTGTAGACAGTTAGAGCAGCCTGAAGTGCTGTCTTTTGTCTGTCTCAAGCCTGGTACTCAGCCAGCTACCTGGGAGCAGGATTTCAAAGATGTGACTCTCAGTCATTGCCACCCCAGAAAGGGAATGGCTCGGGCTTCCCATTTTCTGATGTTTCAAGAACTCATGTTGCTCTTCTTTCTCTTCTTGCTCCCTCTTCTCGTCCATTGTTTTTCAGAGGGAGAAGCTGAAGCTGAGTGGCTCCAGGACGCGGGCCTGTCAGACCTCATCAAGGACCATGCCTCTGAAAATGACAACGTGGTGCTGCTCTCCACCCTGACGAAGACCCAGGCCGCTGCTGTGCAGCGAAGGTTAGATACCTACTCCCGGTCTCGGAGGAGGAAGAACAAGCATCCTGTGCGTGATGTTCGAGACATTTTTGGAGTGGTCGGCTCTGGGGTATGTTGAGTGGAATCTCCCGAAAAGTTTTGTTGTACTGTGGTAGCAGCCTCAGCTTGCTGCACCTAGGGCTGCTTCCATTTCCAAAACAGATGGCTTCATCTTTTAAGCTGAAATGAAACTGAGATTGCAGAACTTCTGCATCCAGGTTGCAGGACTGAGAAGAAATAAGTACAGAACCTACAGTTCTATAATCTTCCTAGAGACTGCCGGAAGAAACACTTTGTGTAGCACCTACAGCACTGCAGCTTCATGGAGCTCTGATATCATTTGGAGCCCTCTTGTGTTTTCTTTATTCCAGTGACATTTTATTCGAACTGCAAGTTGTTCTTAAGTTCCTCAATTGAAATTCAGAAAGTTTTTAAACTTGCATATTAAATAGAAATCTGTTGTGTGCTCTACTGTATGGGAATGAAGATTTTTAGCTCTTAACCTGAAGTGCCCACCCACTAGGTTTCTTCTATTTGCACTTGAAAATCTGAAAAACTAAATCCAATCTGATAAAGTGACGTTCTGGTGTGAATTAGTTACAGATGCTAAATGGGGTGGTTCTGCTTTCATGGTAAGCTCATCAGCCGTATGCCTACTCTAAATATATAGTACATCTTCTGTATAGATTAACTTCTGTCCATCTGCAATGACTTTGCACAGGTTCCTTTTAGCTTTCATTCATCTGTTCACAACTCCATGTCACGAACAGGTTCTCAGAAAGTTGCTAACTTCTGGTAACAGAATGTGCTTTCTTGTATTCTGACTAGTTCTAGCAAGAGTAAGGTTTTCATTAGTAGAATTGACTGCCAAATGTCTCTTTATTCCTTAAAGATGCCCTTCTCTCTCTAGACCTGAAGAGGTTACCATAAAGGCTGCAATGGGAAACTTTTAGGTGCTGATGTGTGACTAGATCCTGGGCAGTTTGCTCAGTACACTGTTTATTAGCCCCTCAATGTATAAACAAAAAAGACGTTAGCTGCTGATTATGAGGAAGTAAGTCTTGTTTGTTTTCATGGTGTAGAAATTCATCATAAATGCCATCTGTGAAAGTTTTCTGTTTTTCACCTGCCTGTCAAATCCCCTAATTGTTATTTGTTTAATAATTCTTAGTGTCCTGACCTTCAGCAGCATTTTCTCAGAGAGAAGCAAACAATGTCAGATGTTTTGTTTTTTCTACCAAAATCAGGGTGTCATTATAACAATTTCTGTTCTGCTTTGTGTAAGTAAGAATGTTTTGATTTACGTTTCAGGAGACAGTAACCGAGAAAGAGGAGTCCAGCCCAGATCAGTTGTGGCACAATCTACGGACTTCAAATGTTCAGAAACGTAAGAAGAAATTTTTAAATGTTCAGTAGGTTTGGAAATGGGGTGTAGGATCTGAAGTGGGGCTGGAACTGAAAGGGAAGTTAGGCTAATCTGGACTCTGAACTTGAGCAGCTCTATTTCCAATACTGGCTGTTACTATTAGGTAAGGCCTTATTTGTGTGTGGTTTTTTTTTTATTTTTAAATGCAAGCTTACAAATTTTGCTGAATGTGGTAAACTTTTCAAGGGCCTAGTGTTGTTAGGAATTAGCACTCGGTGATAACCCTCAATCTTCAAGAAAGTAATTAAAAAAAAAAAAAAGATCATATAGTGAAATCCTATACACAGTTGCGTGAAGAGAAGTTAGCCACAGCTATGTCCTTTAATTTAAGGGCATGCTCATGTCTTACTACTGACCTCGTGTTCATATTTGTAATCTTAAGGCTTTAAGCTAGGCTCACTGTGCTATGACAGCACTGTTTTCAAATGCTAATATGATCCTTTTTCTCTTTTCCAAAAGCAGTTGACTCGAACCATGTCTTAAGTGGCAGTTTTAATGAACTTGTTTTCTAAGCTTCACTCTTTTAGCTTTCTGAAATTCAAGGTGTTTTCTCCTCTGTAGCAGAAACCCAGGATTACTCCTGCACAGTTCGAAACTCTGGAAAAGAGGAGGTGTTCAACATGGACATTGCCTACTCAGAGCAAGCAGCTGTCCTACTCAAAGGATCATTCCTGTCTGAATCCAGGAGAATAATGGATGGAAACACTCTAACTGTAAGCATAGGAATAATTGTTCATGTTAGAGTTTAATTAGCTTCTCTTCTTGCCTAGGTGGGTGCAAGACATTTAATTGTATGATCGGCTCTTGGAAATGTCCTCCATAGATAATGCTGCAACAGGCCTGTACTAGGCAGGGGTTTTTGGATGGACAGTGGTGGGCAAGGATAACTGCTGTGTAGTGGGTGGTCAAAAGAAATAGTACTTGTGTGAGAATCCGTAGCTATTTGGATGTGGATCTGGGTTGTTGCCACTGGGAAAAAAAAAAAAAAGAATAACTGGACTTTCTTGCTTGTAATGCTAACAGTTTCTTCTTTGAAAATGTACTGGACTGCTTCCAAAGTTCACATGGATTAGGATGGGCATCAGGCTTTCTTTAATTTAGAAAACTAGGACCTCCAATATATTTGAAGAGTAATGCTGAAAAAGGGAAATATTTTATTGAACTACGGTTTGAGTAGAAGTAATAGTTTTGGTTATTTGCCTAGTGCTGAAAACAGGAGAATGCATAAATGCTTAGTTAGTGATAAAGAATAATGAAAATGCAACAGAACTTGATAATCACTAGGATCAGTAGAGTTGCTTGTACTGAACCTTTTGTGTATGTGTGTTTTCCTTTAGAAATTTAAAATCTACAAGGGCAGACTGGGAGTGACCAGGGTTGGAGATCTATCTGCTCAGGACATGAAGAAGATCCCCACACTGGCCTTTATTGAACTAACAGCTCTTTGTGATGTTCTAGGCTTTGAGCTGAAGAGAAACAAGGCAGCAAAATTGAAAACAACAGGTTAGTTGTTTGTTTTCTTGATTTTTAATTTTTTTTCTTTACCCCCATTTTGTGCCCCCTCCCTTTTAGTTGAGATTTTCTTACGAATTTGGTTTTCAAGTGGTAGAACAAAGAGGGTCTTTGGTAAGAAACCTTGTGACAAGTGTTTTTGCATTACTTTCTTCTGGAATCAAGACCTACTATCACCTTTACATCTGTTGTGTACATTTGTCCTATTACCTGTTCTTCTCTTTTTCTCCAGAACTTATAAAATGTGCTATCTTAGTCTGTAGTGCTAGAAGTATCCCTGACACCTGTATTAACAGTGGTACAGACTTAAAATATGTTTCTATTGTAGAGAAAAAACTCTTTGGAGTTCCACTCAACACTCTGCTGGAAAATGACCAAAAACTGCTTCCCAACACTAAGGTCCCTCTGTTACTCCAGGCAGTAAGTTTTCTTGATTTCATTCATGCTTCTGTTCCTCGAAGCTGGGAAGCCTTTGAGGCTTGTGATAAGGAAGGGCTTACTTCTCATCCTCTGTATCTAAGAGCTTTCTTTTTTTCCCCTTCTAATAGCTGCTATCTTGTTTGGAAAAGAGAGGACTTGAAACAGAGGGCATTTTGAGAGTTTCTGGGTCCCAGACTAGAATCAAGGTATGAGCTCTTCACTACCAATATTTTCAAAGGTAATCAGGGAGCAAGTTGCTGAAGCAAGTCTCTAAATAAGGTCTAATTTGAATTGTTTCGTCTCCCTTCCCTGGACAATTAGAAGTGTCCATTACTGGGAAATCTGGGAATGTCTGTCGTTGAGGGTATCTGCGGTCTTTTGATTTGATGTGTTGACCTAGTGTTTAGCTATAGAATTTTCATTGTATTTGCTTACTGAAGCATGTAATAAATTCCATCTGTTTTATAGAGTCTGGAACAGAAATTAGAAAGGGACTTCTATACTGGCCTGTTCCGCTGGGATGAAGTTCACCAGAACGATGTATCTGGGCTACTGAAAAGATTCATAAGAGAGCTGCCTGCCCCTCTGCTGACAGCAGAATATCTTCCTGCTTTTGCTGCTGTACAAAGTGAGTTCCTTTTTTGGCTGTTTAGTGTCAGTTTGCTGGTTTGTACTTTCCTAGTCCTGGTCTCTCCTGTCAGGTCTCCTGTTAGCAAGTGGATTTCCTGGGAATGCAGAGCACGATACGTGCTATAGGTGGTCAAATGCAGTTTGCTGGGTGTTACGTATACTATTATATATCAGCCTCAATGTCTTAGTCGCTAGTTCTTGGTTGTACCCAAAATCTTTGTGTAGGAACACTGTCCTGAATAAGTTACGTTACTACATTTGAGGCTGCAAGGTTACTATGTGAATTAGGAGAACCTAATTTAAAAAAGGAAAAAGAACACGCAGACTGAGATGTGGCAACTGGCCAGGGTGCATGATCTTGGACCGTCTGCAGCAGTGCAAGACAGTGCATCTTATTCTGAGGTTCGTGCCTCAATAGGTGACTTGAATGTTTTGAGCCAACTGTGTGTGCAATTTTTTTTTTTGTTTGACAAGAAACAGGTGGTGGGGTCTACTAGAGTACACATAATACCAGCAAGTCTTAAAAAAAAAAAAAAAAAGTCAGTCATCTGGAACAAAAGTGATTCACTTCATAAAGGCTGTATGAGCTTGATTTACTTCTAGGATTTGAGACCTTGTTTTACAGATGACAAATGCTACAAAAAGGAATTGCCTTAGCCCTGCTCTCAGTCTATGTGACTTGAGAACGCAATTTCCATTCTTAAAAAGATTGGTGTCAGAAGCCTGAACCTGTCTTTCCTTTTCTAGATATTCCAGACCTGAAGCAAAGACTGCAAGCTCTGAACCTCCTGATCTTGATCCTGCCTGAGCCTAACAGAAACACGCTAAAGGTAAGTCTACTTGTTCCTGATTTAACTGGAAAAACATGTTCTCATTCCATGTTTTTGTTTAAGGAACTCTTATCACCCTTTTGTAAAGGGGAGTGTAAATAACGTATTAGATGATTAGGAGGTTTTACTTCACTGACTTGAGCATAGAAACTTGTGATGGAGGGGAGTAAACAAATTTATGGGCTGGGAAGTGAATGAAAGCTGTAAACACAGTCTTCCTTTTGGGGATTAACTTAGGAGGATTTTTTACACCGTTTTCAGAATCATGTTCTTTCTTTTCAGTGTACTAAAGCACATCGCTATGGAGTGGAGGGTGTATAGGTCTCATCTTAGTGCACCCATAGACAATATATATGGGAGAAATTCATCAGCTTTGATGAAGGTGTGAGGCAAAATAGATCCAAAGGGTTTCATTTCCCACATCTGGGAATAGATGTGGCAGTTCCTGGGGAAAAAGAGGGTTGGATTTGGATTCTGTAACTTTTACAACTGGAGTTTGTAAATTGCCACCAGACCAGAAATAAAACTTACTTATTTCCTACGTGTGCTATCTTTTCTGATTCATGAATGCTGGACAAACCATCTCCCTGTTTGGTGTAGTTATTTGTTGCTATTCTATTATTAGAACTTGGCTGCTGTACTTCCTGATTAGAGAGTTGTTTTTTTTTTTTTTTATGAATGTCTAGAAAAAGGTGCTGATTAGATGATCTCTCCAGCAATTGTAACTCTAGTTTCTTGAGTCCTATTAGGAGTTAAGATATTAAGTCTCTTTCCCTCTCCTCAGGCTCTACTTGAATTTCTCAGCAAAGTGGTTGCCAGGGAGAACAACAACAAAATGAATCTCTGGAACGTTTCCACAGTCATGGCCCCAAACCTGTTCATGCACAAAGGCCTGCCAAACAAGATCCCCGAAGGGAAGGAGAAACAGCTAGCAGAGGGGGCAGCTGACGTTGTGCGGATGATGATCCACTATCAGGATTTGCTTTGGACAGTAAGTTGCACAGGTGTTCTGCAGTATGGTATAGTAGTGCCTTGGTCTGGATGGAACTGGGGTAGGGAATGAGATAGTTTTGGAAATTTCAGACTAATTGATTGTTTCCAGACAAAGCTTCTGTATGAATTCCAAGATTGCCTGTTTTGAAGGTATATAGATATTTCATCTGCTGAAGGGGCTTCATAAAGTGATGTTTGGGTTTCTAAATGGCATCCTCACTTCTGCTTGATATATTTTAATTTCTGTGTTCTCCCTTCTTCCTTGCCCAGGTCTCCTCTTTTCTGGTAGCTCAAGTGAGGAAACTCAATGAGAGCAATAGTAAAAGGTACCAGTTCTGTGACAAACGGATAAAAAATTTGTTGCGGAAGATTCATGCTGATAAAGACAAGGTGGAAAAGAACCAGGCAGAGGTGAGATAGAACTGGTCTCTTTCACAAGTGCCAAATACTTTCCCATTATAGTATCTTCATGAGAACTTGAAAAAGTCTAAAGAGTGATGCTTTATACAGAGCGAGAGGGAGAACAATCTGCACCATCCCAAACTCTAGTAGCCAGATTGTGGCAAGGGCTGACCCTAACAACAAGTGTACTGGTTAAATCTGAAACTGCAAAATATTGTTAAGATGTTGCACGTTTACAGAAGAAGGGGGAAGAGACCAGGAGCAGAAATGCTGGATTTAACCTCACATGAAGAGAATTTACATAGCTTTAGGTGTCCCATGTGTTTAGACAGACATGTCTACTAGGATCAAGTCAGAATTCTTTGAGTGAACTTAAAGCAAAAAAATTTAGACCGCTACTGTAATGTGGAAGTAGGTTTTCAATCATCTTGCTGTGTAATGCTGCTGATCTGTATAGGACAAAGTGAAGGAGAGAGGTGAAATTTCTCTTATTTCACCTCTTGTGTTGGTGCTGGCTGAGACTTTTAAACAGATGTTGCTACCGGACCCATTTGAGTATCAAAGCTGCAGTCATTCTGCTGTTCTGGTTGCCACAGTTAATTGATGAGTGTAGGTCTGTAGCAGGTAGGTTACATTACACAATGCTGGATTTTGGGTATCCCGTAGCAGTGGCGGTGATGCTGGGATAATCTAAGGGCATGAGCAAAATGAAGCCTGCAGGTAGGAATAACACATGGAGAGCTTAAATCTGCATACCCAAAGAAGAGTTTGTATTCTCACAAGCCAGTACATCCCCCATCTTTCTGTACCAGTTGGGCTACTGAGATGTGCACCTAAAATTTATCTGGTTATGTATGCATGTCACTCTTAAAGGCACTTGCATTTCAGAAAGAATAACTACAATTTAGGCAGCCCAACAGGTGACTGAATACTTAGGATTTGTGCCAACAGTGCTTCCTAGTGGTGTGTAGCACTGCTTCTGCAGAACTAGAATTATAAAATTAACGTGCTTTGGTTTAGATCCAGTTAGAATGGTTCCTTTATCTGCATAAAAATTCTGAAAAGTTGGTTCATGAAAAAAGTGTTAATGAGAACAGTTGACAAAATAGCTCTCAGATTCTGTTCTGTAATAGTTCAGTGCTTCCTTCTTGAAGTTTTTGTTCTAAAATTCAGTAGTCTCTGTAAGACTGTTCAGTTGTTGTCTAAACATTATTCCTGTTGTTATATTATTCCATATTCCTGTTTTTAAATGAATTCTAGAGAAGTCCATCATGCTTGTGGAAAAACACTTCTGAATTTATTCTGCCAGATCCCAATTTCATCAAAACCTGCAAGTGCCAGTACTGTGTTTGAACAGCAGAGAGCACCAGCACACACCGATCAAGACTAGTGTTTTTCTCCCCAATCACAACACTGATGCACAGATGATTTGTTTATAATGCTCACTTTGATGCTTTTATAAGCTTCCATTCTCTAGTACATGGAATAAGAAACACAAATTCTATGAATGCCTGGCTGGATAAATTTCATTCTTCACATTCTCCAGTCTAGTTTAAAACATCAAGTTTCAGCTGATAACAAAGTCTTTTGTGAAGTGCTTTATTCTTTTTTCTTCTGCTTTTCTTGTTCAGCCTTCCAAGGTTGTGAAAGTCCATGCTTCACTTCTCCTGAAGGATACACTAGAGGTGCATCTGAACAATGCAACCAGAGTTGCTGATGTCTTGAGGCAGTTTCAGAAGAACTTGTGCCAGAATGGCTGGAATATTGTTAACACAGTCAACCTCCTCAAGTGGTAAGTGTCTTTTTCTCTGCTTATTTAGAGAAAATAAAATGCAGGTGGTCTAGTTATTATGTCTTCTGTCTTCCAGTGCAGCTGTTGTGATGGAACAGGGAACTGTTACAAACTTCTGTCTGCTTTTCCATTCTAGATTTTGGGAATGGTGTGTTGGGTGGGGCTGACAAATAGCAGTTGAGCTGGGTGATTCCATCACTGTGTTCAGGCTGGCAGGAGGATGGTGGTTCCCTCATCTGCTTGAAGGCAAATGAACCACAACAGTATGTGCAAAGCCTTGCTGGAGAGAAAGGGAAGTGGTGGAATAATGTTGACCATGCAAAATAAAACTTCTCTAGCTCTCCAAGAGAAAAGCATCACCTGTGTGAGCTACTTGCCTGGAACAAATATTTCCAGTGTGCATAGGTTCATGTAGGGGTTTCCTAAAATAAGCTCTACAGTTCCCTTCTGTGCTCCAGTGATGAATTGCTGAAGTAATCCCCAAAATGAACAACACAATTCCCTAACCCTGCAGGCATGTGCAGTATTCAATAGGTGAAATGTTAGCGCATCCCCTGACTGTGTCCATGGGCAAGAGATGCCCAGACAAAGAGGGTGGATGGGGAGTTGGCTGAATATGAGTCAGCTGGGAACTAGTATCTCAGTCAAGCTCCTACAGCCTCTGAAGTCTTCCTGCAGATGAGCTTCTCTTGCACAGGCTGTTGACTGTAGAGGAATGCTGACAATGACAGTTGGTATTTATGCCTTTTGTCTTTCTATTGAAGTGTTTGAAGTGTGCTTCTCATTACAAGTAGGGAATATCTACCTTGTTCTTTGCACAATTTTGGGTGTCATTTCCAACAACCACATAGTTCAGGAGAATCAGTAAGGTTGCTGTACTGTACAGCCTTGTAGCTTCCTTGACCATTGTTGACTTCTGCACCATGAGCAATTCCTTTGGAAGAAACATGACTGAACTACCTAACCTGCCCTTCACAGAGCTTTGTTAACTTCAGTGTGTTTTTCCTTTCTATAGTAACAACTCAACGGAGTGCACAAACTTGCTCCTGTATGAAGTGGGAGGCAATATTGGTAAGTCTGGGTGGTAACTGAAAATAACTTTGATATCCAGTTTTTATATCTAACTTACAATAGGAGGGGGTCATAAAGATTAGGTGATTTGGAGGGGGCTCCAGAAATTAAAAGAAAAATTAACAAATGTGGGTTAACCCCACCAACAGCAAACAGCAACTGTCAGAGCTTTCCTCTATCAATAGGGTGGTGCCATCAGATGGAAAAGAAATCTAAATAATATAACAGCAGATTGGGCAGGCCGAAAATGGAAAGGAATTCTTATGTCCTGTTACAACTGGTTCTGAAGATCATTGTCTACCAGAGTGATTTGATTTTTCTCTCAGTATTTTCCACAATGACATCTGTAGAAGGAAAAATCCATCATATCACATACAACTTGCTCTAGCTACTGGATTTGATCACTAACATATTTCAAAATGCATTTCAAAATGCTTTTCAAGAGATAAGGTTATTGGGTATGAAAGTGAAATTACCTTTCCACAGCTGAAGCTCAGCCTTAGTGTGGTTTTAAGAAATACACATTCATTTTAACATAAAGAACTAGAATTTTTTCAGTTTTGTCTAACTGCTTCTGAATGGTTGTAGTGTTGATATGAATGTGGACCAGTCTTCAGGGAGAAAGTAGTAACTATGGGACTAAAAATATAAGAAATGTTTTTTTCTGAATTTCTTGTTCTGAATAGGTGAACGTTGCCTGGACCCAGACACTTACCTCTTAGACTTGTATCATATCAATCCACATGCTGAGTGGATAATTAAGCAAAACCCATCGTATCCTCGGATGTTCTAAGAGAGCATGAACAAAAAGTTTGGTTGAAGCTTTTGGAAGGCAAGAGGAAGCCATGAAGATGTTCCCTATATAGTTACAAACTGGACAATGTTTGTGTCTTTGAAGGAGAAAAAATTTATTTACTACTTCCATGACAGCTGGCTGTGAGTACAATAGCCCACATGTAAACAGGGGAGTTGATAAACAGCACCAATTATCCTTACGTAGCCGAATTTGCAGGGATTATTCTTAAAAAGAATAAAAGACCCTAAAACACCCTGCAAACAAAGCTACAGCAATTATACAACAAAGATGGAATGTAAGACAAGAAACATCTCTTGAAGTTGGTAGAACACGTTTGTTTCTTCTGGATTTGCTGTTCTTTGATCACATCCACGTTTTGGAGGAGAGACAGTTACATGCTACAGCGGTACTAATCCTCTTGGTAAGATCCGCCATTCACTGTTGCACATTACCAGAAGAAGCTGTGATCCTGGGTTTCAGTAATAAGATGCTGTTACTTCCTCTGAAGAATGAAAAGGGATGCTTCCAAAAAGGCCAGATGGGATGCGAAGCTGACATCTTGCATTTAATGGCTACAATTAAAAACATATATTCAACACAAGAAAAAAATGCAGGCGTTTATTTTGCTGGAAAACCTATGTATCAACAGTTAACCAAGGAAATACTCTGAAGTGAATTTGAGGTTAGTAATCTGACCTGGAAGGCTCTGTGTGAATATGACTGTTAAAAACAAAACAAGAACCCTAAGATGTGCAGTGGCTCAAATAAGAGGTCTGTGCCTATATCTGTCTGGTCCCTACAGTGGGTACTAAATTGAGCTCTTTACCACTCCGACCACACGTTTTCATCCTGCAGAGCATGGTGGCTGTGGTCTGAAGAGTCCAGGGGAGAGTGGAGCACTTGCACCGTGCATTATTACATAACCAACATCTGACCTCAGTTCAAATGAGACTTTGCTTGTGGAAGAGGAGTGCAGAAATATTTTCTTTTGCAGTGATGCTGAAATACCTCACATGAGGGAACCTACTATGCAGTTACAAGTGGTGGAACATGCACCTTCTGAAAACCCTGACATTTTTTATACTGTTTTTAAACACTGTTGGATATTTATTCATGTGGCAGAAGCAGGGCTGCCCTGCAAGTGTATACTCAAAGTATTTCATTTGCCAAGTCCTAGCTGCACTAGTGACAAGCTCTCCAGTATTATTTCTGATGTTTAACTGAATTCATTTCCACTGCAGTCTGAACTTTCCCTCCCCTGTTGTGCCCCCTCCACCCTCATTTTGTTTGGCTATCCCTATTCATTTTCTGAAAGTCCTGATTTGTATTGTAAGAGCACTTCATTCTGTAGTTTGTCTGCGTGGTTAAATTCTCTTGGTGAAATAAGATCCTTGAGAAACAGGTGAGCCATAGGATGTGTTCTTTCTAACCTGCTGTGAATATGGTATGAGTGATGCTGAAGTTGTGAAATTATGCATATTTTAGTCTACTTTTTTTTGGTTGAGATGTTGCAGATGCACTGATTCAAGGGGTTATCTTCATAGTTATCTTTTTAAGAACCTGTAATGGTGTGTGTGGGGGAAAAAAAATCAACCCAGAACCCCAGAATCAAGACCTCTTGAGATTACTTTTTTAATAGGGCTTTAAATTGTGCCTACCAGGGCCTAATTGTTGCCCTTTAGGATGGGTGCTCTGCGTCTCTTAAAAGATAAAGCTGCTTTAAAATTGGGCATTAAAAATCAAAGGTACCTATTCACTCATCACTTCTGGAAATCTTTGTTGCAGTGTTGGAGCTTAGCAAAGGGCAAACGCCAGAGATGTCATTCTCTGAGAAATACCTAACTCACCAAGGTGTTTGTAGGAAAGACTGAAGAATCTGTTCTAGTTCAAAGGTGCTTTGTAAGCAAAATTACATCTCTACCAATCACAAAACACTGCATTTTCCTCCACCAGTTGTGTGCTAGGGTTTTTTTAATGTATTAGGTGAAGAATGCTACATTGCTGTTTCTGTGAACGAGAATTTTTTGTCTTTTTTCTGAACGCCAAACAATGTGAATCAGAGCTGTGAAAAACAGGCTTGGAGAATCTCACAATACAAATACCAGTTCTCAAATATGACAGATAATGTAAGAAAAAAAATCTCTTTCCAGATGATGGCTGTACTTTTTTTTCCCAAACTTTGTACCAAAGAACAAGTATGAATTTTGAACAGTCACTGATGTGCAACCTGCTTCTGGATGTTGGCTTTTAATAACTTTTTTTTACAAATTTTTAATTCTGTATTTAAAATTCATTTAATCAATGAGACAATAAAAATATGGTCACACTTCTTGGCTCCAGTTTCATTAGTGGAATGAGTTAGCACAGTAAATGGCAGCAGTCTGTGAACTCCAGCAGAATTTGCCCTGTGCCTCAAGAGGGATGGATGTACCCGGAGTCTACATGAGCTAGACAACTTTCATGTTACAGCTTCAGATAAAGTTCCTCTTTGGATGATCCTGTGAGGTAGCTGTGAAATAGCAGTCCAGGAGGAGGAAGAGATGTCAGAGTTGGGTTCAGAAAGCTTAAAGGAATGTTTGGAGCTGGTCTCTTGGCAATGAGTTGGCACCCGGTCCCTTCATGAGCAAGGGGCAAGGATTAGCACCTCCTGAAGGATGAAATGCCCTTGTTAAAGAGGGGAAGGTGTTCAAGTCCCATGGGAAGTCCCTCTTCAAAATCCTGTCAGTCCCTTCTCTGTTGAGCTGAGTTTAGGTGCATACATGCCTGGAAGAGTGGCCTGGTTAACCAAGACAGGAATCTGGTCTGAAAGTGTGGTTAGCTTATGGCTTACATTTTAGTGCTCAATATTCAGTGATGGGATAGGGCATAAATCTACTTGTTTGTTCAATAGCAGCCTGTCCAGTATTACAATAGGCCAGCAGGATCTGCTACCCTGTCCTGAAACAAAAGGAAAGAGGAGAGAATCTGAGTGGCTTTAGAGAGCTTTCAAAGCAATTATCTGAGGAAAACACCAGCTTATCAAACTCATTTCACCCATTCATCTTCAGTAGTATCAAAGTGCTAATCTCTCCCATCCCCAAGGGCGTTTTTTGATTGATCATTACACAGCTATCTCTTCTGCTCAGAACAAAAGCCCAGTTTTTATTCTGTATGCAACTTAGTCGGGTGTGCTGAGATAAGGGCATAGCATAAAAGAATCTTGCCAATGCTGGTTAAACATATTTGTAGGTGAAGTGGAACTGAAACACCACATCTTAAAATACATAATTTGCTTCAGGCAAAAGCTCTGCAGAATTACAGGATCTTTACAGGAACAAGTGAAGCTTCAGCACTTGGAAGGAAACATCACAGGAGAAAAACTAAATAGGCTTCCTGGAGCAAAGTAAGTAAATGACAGCAAGTAGTTGTAAACAATGCCACCCCAACACCCCCCCCCCCCAAAAAAAAAAAAAAAAAACATTTAATTAAATGTTTCTTTCCCTTAGTGCACTCCTTGTTTGTCTGTGACAACAAAGCAAACAGCATCTGTGTTTGCCTGCTGGCTTGTGTCTGTGAGAAAGAAACTTTCGGGTTCTTTCCAAATCCTATCTGGCTCCAATTATACACCAGGGCTGTGTGCAAGGTAATGCCCAAAGTGGATATATATACACACATATGATTCTACTGATATGACTAACTCAGGTTCTTGCAGCACACAGCCATGTCTTCGTCTTGAAAACGTTAATTTGATCACGACATGTTTTTAACCAAGTGGGGGAGTGGATGTGTGCTTGGAGCTCTCTCCTCTTGGGCAGACCATCAGTGTCCTGACTCTTCTGCACGGCTTGTGTGGCTGGAACCCCTCTGCAGGCAGCTCCTTTTTTCACTAGATGGATTTACCTAATTCTTATCTGCTTTCTCCAGTGGGGAAGGAAAGAAGAGGACATAGCTCAATGTTTTAAGTTATTAGAAAAGAAAATGCCTGGTAGTACTGATGGATCAGCCAGGAAATGTCTGTGGCAGGATCAGCTCCCATGTTCTTCCCAGACATCTTCATCCCCTACGGACTAAGGCTTGTAGCCTTTCTCTATGCTGACAAACTCTTGAAGCATCCCAGTTCCTTGTTGTCCAGAGAAGGCAGGCAACCTCACCTGCCAAAGTACTTTTCTCCGTCGCATGGCCACACGCAGGACCCAATGGGCTTAAAGTGTTTAAAGCAGTTTTCCCACTCTGTTTTGTTATGTAGCGCTTTCTAAAGCATGGTCTAAAGAATGTGGGGGAAGAAAATCTATTTTTCTATTCTTAGTTCTTGGAAGGAAATCTGATGCAATGTTTTTGACTGTCCCTACTTGCCTGGCTGGTGTAGTTGAAAGAGTGAACAACTAGGGGATGAAGGAGGAAAAGAGGAAGAACAGCAACAGAAATGGAGGCTGTAGGCTCCATGTAGGTCTGTAAGTATGGTTCTTGTTTTTTCTCCTTTCCCTTCCCTGGATTTGGAATTTCTGTGGATGCATGTGAGCTCTGCTTGCTACCAAACCTTGTTCTTGTCAGGTTGCATTAGAAACCTGCTCCAGTACTTCCCTACCCTTTGCTGGCTCAAAATTAAAGACAGGCCTCCAGCTCTTGCTGTACTGCTCTTTCGGTACTGGCCAGGGTGAGATGAGCCTTCAGGACTGCGTATGCTTCATCTTGCCCCATAAGTTTGGGAACAAAGTCTAAAGAGTACAGGGACTGCTTGTGATCACAGGAGCAGCATGAGCGCCATTGGAGGGCAGCAGCACCCGTGGACGCCTGGGCGGGATGCTGGGAGACCCCAGATCGATGTTGCCTTAATGCAGCAGGGTCTAGCACCTAGTGTAGGTTTTCAGCAAGCGAGGAACAGCAGCTCCTCTGCTGTTGGCAGCTGAGGCTGGCTCTGAGCGTGGTTGTGAACAGACATGTGCTAGCACAGTGATTACTATAGAGGGAAAAAGAAGCTGCCATATCCCAAAATTTGAAATTCTGGGGCCAGAATTTCTGCAAGCACAGGGTCAGCCACAGCCAGGGTTCAACTTAGATGTATGGAAATTATAACTGCTTTGTGTTTTTTGGGGAAAAGATGACATTTGGGGGAGGGTGTCTTATTGTTAGCAATCAGAAATTGTTCTTGGATGTAGGACAAAGACCAAGGTACCTGAAATTGAATCTTTTGAGCCTTTCTCAGAATTTTAAAGGTCCCGAGCCATGGGGTTGTACCTATCCCACTTGTGTCACCTCCTATCTCAGCAATTTGCATGTGCCTTGTCAGTGCAAGCCATGTAAGCCAGTCCCTGGACACAAGAGGCAGTCAAAAAATGGAATAATTGCTAACAAACCAGCAGAGCTGGCTCAGGGTTTCAAGAGAGACAATTAAAGATATTGCATTGTTTCCATCAAAAGGAGAAATGGACCTGGGGGTTCCCTAATAGCCCTCCTGGTTCAGCACTGTGCTCTTGGAGCATGTTGTTGTGGGTTGCATTTATTATAAGCCACTTACTATTATCCCTAATTATTTAGCTGGGGGGAGGTCTCTCACTAACAGGCGAATTTGTGACTTGATGAACACTCAGCTGTCTGTATTTAAGATAAAATTACAGTAATTAACAAATCGATCAACCCTACTTTTGCTTTGCTGGCTGGGACAGAACAAATGGGCTAAATGAGACCTATTTAGCATAAAGGTAGAGAAAGGGCTTTGCAGACCTCAGGATACACAGGCTTGAAGCTTTTTCACACACTGCTTTCAATGGTAATGTCACGTAATTATCTCTTGTTAGATAATTTTGTCTCTGACAAAAAGCACTTGTGCTGTGCTGTCTTCTGCTCAGCTCAGCAAGGCAGAGCCGCGGCTGGTGAACAGCCACGTGGGTTTTGTTAAACCCAAACCTCGAGCAGGGGTGAGCTGGGTTCTGTGGGTGATTTACCTGCTTGTGTGCAGAAACTGTCTTTGGGGAGAGCAAGAATCAGCCCTTAGGTGGTCTTGTGCTTGTCATATACCTGCCGATGTATTGCTTTTGGCGTTGGTTTGCAATCCGAGTTTAATGGGGCTCCTATCCCAGCTAACCACCTTCACACCCTGGCTAGGGCTTCCTGCACTGACCGTCCTAGCAGTGCCCCCGTGTGGGAAGAACTCGTCCCCTCTTCTATGTAACTGGTACCTGCTCGCAGTTGCTCACATAGAAAAAAAAATAATAAAATAAAAATCAAATAGCTTTTCTGCAGCTACAGTTTTGCTCTGGATTTGTGGATAGGCACCTGCCTAAAGCCAGCATTACTGAAGCTGCCATTATCACATCATGAGTGGGTTGAAATAGTGCAGGGTGCAGAATTGTGACCTGGCTTTGAATTCATGCCGTGACTTAGCTCACAGTTGTTTCCTAGTGAAACCCAATGTGTTTTCTAGACAGCACGTGCTGTCTAGAAAATGTTCAGCTGCAGGGATTTGTCCCTGTTTAAGCTTCTGAGGTATGTCTGGGTGCTTTGGCAGGCTCACGTTGCATGTGTTGTTAGCTCTTCCTCACTACCTTGTCACTCCAGGACCATCTGGCATCTGCAGTATATTTCGGGCAGTCCTGTTACAGCAGACAGGAATTTAGAGGGCCAAGGAACTGCTCCTTGTTTCCCTGTGTTTTGCTGTAAAACAAACTGGTACAGGGTGGCTCTGGCCGTCAGTGCAAAGATGGGGAGGGCAAGTAGGTCCTTCTGTGGGAAGCAGCTGTTCCTGTGAGGGTTTGGCAGTGGTGGAGGGCGAGACCGTCCCAGTTACAAAATGTGGCTGCTTCAACATCAACTGTCTGCTTGTGTGGGGGTGAGCTGGTGCTGCTCGCAGCGATGGCTGCTCCTGCTGTACCTACTTGTTCTGCAGAAGAGGGGTTTGTTATACGTAGGCTGTGTAAGAAAGTTGGGGTCAAATGTATTGTGACAGAGCTATATCTGTACTCCGCTGTGGTGTAATCAGGGTGTTAGGTATGACAGATACATGGGCAGCAGAGGGTGCCTGGTTGTTTTGTGGCCTGGGCCTTGTTTTGTGGTGTGCCTGACTGCCCTCCATTTTGGACACAGGTTTTTATGGGCTGGGCGTTTTGCTGCTCTTCTCCAACCCAGCAAATGCTCTCCATCAGGCGTTTCCTCCATCTGATGGCCCATCATCCGAGGGCCTTGTTTCACCGCATGCGTGGCTGCCCTCTATTTTGGATACGGGTGTTTATGGGCCGGGCATTTTGCCACTCTTCTTCAACCCTGCCCTCTCCATCCATCGGGCCTTTCCTCCGTCCAGCTCTGGAGACGTCTGTGGCTGGAGGGGACATCGAGTCGCTGCTGTGCCTGTCACACAGGCGCAAGGAAAACCCGCGCTGAGCCGTCAAAGGCAGAGCCAAGAGCGCCTGAAAGCTTCATTAGCCGGGCTTTGTTCTGAGGCGCAGTCAGGCGGGGAAATAATGCCCGAGTGTTATCAGCCATGTGCAGGCCGCGGTTGCGTAGCAACCCCGACGGGGCCTCGGCTCTGCTCTTCCCCGAGCGAGGAGGAGTGCTCGTTCCCCTCAATTTAGAGGCACCACAAACTGGAATTCATTACCGACGAGAACTTGGCTAGATTTTACATCTCGTAAATGAGATGGCGGCGGAGTTGGCCTCATTTAGCATCACGCAGGTGCAAACTCGCAGGCCGAATGAAGCTGGGATGTCCAGGTTTTGTTTGTGCCTTCAGCTGGTGTTCATCCCTCTGCCCTGCCGGGGCTCAAAATGGGAATGAGGACTGGAAACTTCATTGCTCCTTTCAGTTTTTTAAACTTCAGTTTTGGTGGATATTGGGTAGAAGCAGCTCCAAGCTGAAAGAGGGATGGGGCTGCTGAGGGATCCGGCAGGTGTTCCTAGTGAATCTGCCTGGGTTTGGCGTCCCCCTGCTGAGTCAGTAGAGGGAAGGGAAGCCTGTGCTCCCCTTGCCATTCATCCCAACAACACACCGGGCTTTCTAACCAAGCCTGTGCACCCGTTATACACCCCTCTCTGTGTCTTGAAGGGTGCTAGCACAGAAATGGCATTCCTGAAAACCACCAAATTAGACATCTATTAGACATCTTTGCTGCAGAATATTCACTGTACATCTAAGGCTGTGCACAGTACTGTGGAAATCACCATATCAATTTTGTGATCATCTCCTATGTCCGTATTGCCATTCTGCAGAAAGGTGCTGGTGTAGGCAGTGAGATTCGGGATCTGTGATGGAGGAGACCTGGAACGACCATCCTCTGTGTGTTCCCTCCGACTGAGAAAATGGAGGCATTTTCTTTTACGGATTAGCTAGTGGGTCAAGTGACAGCAGGTAAAAAGAATATTATTTGTATATTGGAAACTTTTTTTCCTCCGCTCTGTCCTTTAACTTGAGTCTTTCAATATTGAACAATAATACATCTTCCATTCTCATTAGTAATTCAGTCTGCAGACTGATTCAGATTAACTTGGACTCTCAGTGTATTAAACACTTTAAGGAAAAAGCAGAAGAGCTCAGGATGTTTATGAAAAGCAATTTCCTCAATGCCAGGCAGTTTAATAACTCTAGAGACAGTGGCATTCAGGCTCATTTATTTTAAGCTACATTTCCAAACTGTGACGGGTCAATAATAAATAAGGCAGGGTGGCAGGTTTGGCATAGGAGAGAGCTCATTTTGAAGAAAAGAACATATGCAAGTCCAGCCCAGAGTGCATGGAATAATGGGGATTTTAGGTCCACCAAATTAAAGGCTCATTTGAGAAGCTGAATCTTATTATAAATCAATATTTCCCTGGTGACCTATTGGCAATAGGTGAAAATTTGGAAGTGTGTGTGGCAAAACTCTGCTCATCTCTTGTCCAAATCGCTTGCTTTCTTATAATAGTACAGTTCTTCTGTGTATCGGTGTGGATTTTTCCTGTAATCGAGTTCCTGGTGGAGAGGCATGTTGCCCCCAGGCAGTGCTTTGCACCTGAGACCTCAGACCTATTCAAGCAATAAATGCAAGCATCACAGTATGTTTCAAAGGACTTGTTAAAAATATTGGAAATCGGTATCTTGTAGGAAACAAAGTGAGTTAATACCATTTGTTGAAAACACCTTGTACAAGCCATATGGGACACTGGGCAGGTCAACTGGAATGTGTAACAACATTCACCTATCTCCTGCTTCTCTCTATGGATATTTAAGCACAGATGCAGGTGGGTTTGAGTTTTATCATCTCCCTTTGAGGTATTAAGCATGCTGAAGAACCCAGCTGAATTGCTTTGCTTAGTCTCCTGCACCATGTATGGAAATTTGGGGCTCTGTAGCTCAGGAAGGTCTTTTTCTCTGTGTCCACCACATTTGGGGTAGCAGGTTCAGAATGTAAAACTTCAAAATAAATTGGAATAGCCAGCTTGTCATAAACGTACAGGTATGGGGAAATTGGCTTTTTTTAATGAAGCTTCCTTTCAGATTATTCCTTGGTAGAGAACACCCTCTTATTTTCTCTGTGGAATATGAAATTACTACAAATGGTTCTACGTTATTCAAAATATTAAGCTTAATTAAAGTGTTATCTAACTCCCTAATATTTAGCACGTATCTGTTGGATATCTTCTGTAAGTAATTGAGTGGGTAAGTTGTCTGTCACTTGTTCTGAACCCAGCCGAGAGGTTTTGCTGTGCAGGCAGGAGGCTGAGGTGGCTCTGCTCTTTGTTTGGTTGAACACAACATTTACAAATCAGGTGCCCAGCATGGAATTTATTTAAGAGTCCTAACTTTTTTTCGTAATGTTCCTGAGTGCTCACTTATTAGAAGGCTCACACTGTGAATCCCCAGGTATTCATGAGATGTTTTATGTGTCTGTATACTTCAAATAAGCTCACGAGTGCAGGCTGCAGGCCCCAGGTAGATGTGGAGTTGATAGTTCCTCCTAATTACTGTACCTAGGAGGCTGTGAATTGACATCCTCTGTCTTCCTGTAACATCCTCATGTTGAAAATCATGGTGACAACTGTTTCCTTCAAGCAGTCTTAGTCCTGAAATAATCTATTTCCTCAGAGTTTGAAGGAATTAGATCCAGGAAGCATGGCAGTTCTGTCACTTCTGCCAGCAAAGGTATCTGTAATGCTCCTGTCTGTGTACCTCCTGGGACCCACAGGCTTGACACAAAGCCTGGGACAAAGTCTCTGCTCTGATCCTCTCTCGTGATAGCCTGTGGTCCTTGTAGCACTGGGAAGGAGCTGTTCACAAACGGAGAATGAAGATTCAGAAATTGCCAGAGGTGGTGTGGGTTTGGACCTTGTGGTTAACCACTCTGCTCCTTGATCTAACCACTCTGCTCCTTGATCTGAGAACAGACGTGCTTTGTAGGCGCTGTGTGAAGTGCCACGGAGCTTGAAGTACCTTTGTGTGGTGTGACGTGTTTGTGGGGTGATGTGTGGATTTCCTGATATGAAGCATAGGCTTCAGTGGCAGATGGGATGATGCTGGAGTTATGGGGGCCCTTTCTTCCATGGTTGTGTATATAATGGAATGAGCAAACCCAAAAATATGTCCATTAGAGCTAATAAGGAGTTCTAATTAGGTCCATCACTGCCAGTTCATGACTTTAATCTGTGTTATCACAAATAACACTTTTTATATTGGACTGTCTGCCTGCGACCCTTGGTGTATCATTACCCTACAAGCATGAGTACCTAAAAATGGGATCTCTTGATGCTGTAGCATTTCAGCAAGGCTGTTTCTGAGATCAGGACTTAGATGTTTAAAGAAACAAACCCTGAAATCCTGACCTTCTAAGACAGGCATAAAAATATCTTTACCCCCCCTGTTTTCTCCTAAAGCTTCTGATCTCTATGACCCAATGAATCAGGACTCTCAGGGAAATATCTGTATCATCAGAGTGCTACAGCTGGCAGGTTAATGAGATGAACACAATTCAGCTGGAGCTCGCATCCCCACTGCGGCTGCTCAGTGCACCCATTTCTTCCTGTTCTGCGTGCCCCATCTCTGGGTACAGAAACACACGTGTGAATCCCTACAGTAGGATGCAAATGCAATACGCCGTGACAAATATTGCTGCCTTGGTGGTTAAAGGATTATTTTTAAAGCTACTGTTATAAACTGAGTCCTGTAGCTTGCTTGCATTAGCAAGGATTAAACGGAGAGGACATGATGCCTTGTACTCCTGCAGTCCTGTCCCCCAGGACGCCTCTGCTCTCAAAGCCATTTCTGAGTCATCGCTTGATGTGCTGGGCTGCAGGGCACTGACTAAGTCCCCACATACTCCAGGGCTTGAATCGTGGTATGCCGTGCAGGGATGCCCACTGCTGCATCTGGTGACCAGGAGCACGAGTTGCTGATGATTTTTTGGTTTCATTTTAATTCCTTAGATTTAAAGGCATGCTGCCAGCGTGTGGGGGGGTGGTCATTTTGCTTTGATACTGCTACTTATGGAGTCATAGAGAACAAGAATTGTCATCTAGATTAGATTTGTCTTTCCAGTTCATGTTTTGGCTCACAGATGCTTTGCTTTCGACCCAGATTTGGAGGACGTGACTTTTTTGTCTCTTTCCATCCCAAATACCCTGTCTAATGCATACCAAAGGTTGAGGAAAATCTCCATCTGAAAAATTGTACCTAGTTTAAGGCTTCCCTGCAAACCAGAATATCTGGTCAGGTGGCTGGATAATATGTAAAAATAGCAGAGAAAGCAAATAGTCTGCCAGTTTTAACAGTGCTCAGCTCAGATGATGCAGTCCCAGCTGTTTTCAATCTTCACTTTGCTAGAGAACCCATTTCCAAGACGATAATCATTTGACAGCTTTTAATCTTCCAGTGCAGATGTGACAAAATAGTTTCATAATCCGCTGCTGCGCTTTAGGCTGCTTGTCCTGTAGATCTGCAGCTGACTAATGCAGGGCTTTGTCCCATGGTATGTGACAAAACCACGCCAGCTCACGCTGCACAAGTCTAAGGACTGTCCTGTTACAGTAAATGCCTCCAGAAGTGAGTATGCTGCAAATGCATTGTGATTTTGAATGAGTTGGAAACTTGAAACAAAAAGCTACCAAAACAATCAAGATGTGGATAGCACCCTGAAAGAAATTGTGAGTCAGAGTAAAGAGAAATCACTGAGGCTGAGCAGTGCCCACTGCAGGAGCAGGGGAGTGACTTCCCTGTGCTGTGCCTGCAACGTGACTGCTCTGCGATCAGTCGTGTTAGACAATCTGTGGGTTTCAGGCCAAAATTAGGAGATGGTGACTCACCCTTGCTCCAAAGGGGCGTAGAGCAGCAGGTGACAGCACCCTCCCCTCTCTTACAAACGATGCTGATGAGTTGAGAAAACCCCAGAGATTTTTCTGTGAGTCATTTGTGGGCGAAGAAAGTGCAGGGATGATGGGGAACAATCTGAGGGCTGTGTCATCTGAGGGGTGCTTTGCTAGCAAACTCGTGGGAAGGGGACAAAGCGTTAGAATTAGGCTAATTAGCCTTAGTAATAAGGCTGCTTCAGAAGAAGGGTGGGGAAATGTCTGATTATACGTCAGAACATTTCATTGTAAGTTGTGCACGTGGTTGTTTGAGGTTGCGTGCACTTAATTTACACCAACAGTGCACTGATTTGACCTTGTTCAAGCTGGATGAAAGTGGTCAGTCCCTTACCACAGTGTCTGCATATTTACTTTTTCCTAGATGACCTTGTCAACTTAAAAATAGCAATTTCGACGAATCTCTATGTACTTGAAACAAAGATGAACCTGGATAAAATATCAGTATCTTAGTCAATCCTAGAATTTATTTCTGGGAGGTGGCAGTGAGCCATACAGGGGAAAAAATGGCAAAAGGCCTTTTTCTGTTGAGACCACATCTGATTAAAGAAGAAAGTTGTTAGCTGGAAATTCCTTTTTCTTTATGTGCCTTATGAATCTACTAGAAATCCCATGGAAATGTGTGTGGAACTCTTTGAGAATCTAGCAGTTGTTTTACTACTAATAGTAATAATAATAATACTTTAGATATAGGTAAGGATTGGAAGCTAGTCCAAAGCTGAATCTGGGCATAAATGCTATCATTTATAGTCTGTGTTTTCAGAAACAAGAAATGACTGACATACATGCTTAATTCAAACTAAATAGCCTATAAAACAAGTTCCCTAAGGCTAATAATAATAATATCAGGAGAAATGAATATAGGGATGATTGAATACAGGATACACTGAAGAGCGAATATGGAATATAGATACATATCGCGCTAGCAAGAATGGGCTGGTGTTTATGGTCTGCTCAAAAGTCCAATCCATCATCTGACCAGAGGATGTAATGCAGTTAGAATCAAAAAGGATGGCTCTGTTCAAAGCAATAGATGCCCATTATAAACCAGCAAATGCAAATAATCAATCAAAAGCAGCAAGCGAGCAAAAGGGGAATATCATCAAGCAATAATTCAGATCACAGCTGTGATTATGAGCAATAACCTTAAATCTGCTATTTAATTAATATTAAGCTTCTGACACCTTCTAGGATGGGAGCACGCAGACCTTCTCAGCCTCATATGATAGTAGTAAGACATAACGTTGTGCTCCTTACATATTTAAGGCAGCGAGTTAACCATTTATGGATCCCTCATCGAAAGCTTTCAGGTCTGTGTATAAATAATATTCCCTTTGTCCAGGTGCTGCTCAGGCAGTGGCTGGGCTGGGACCAAGCATCCCTTGCTAGTGACGCCAGCTGGGGCAACAGAGCAGATGTGGGGTCCCCGTAAGCTTTGGTCCATCTTGGTGGCTGCAGGAGCTCCTGTCCAAGGCTGGTGACTGAAGGGTAGCGTGAAGGTGCTGAACTCAAGCACCCAGCTTAGCTAAGACAATCTGATGTTTTTGGTAACCTCGTGTACACCTGGAGAAGTGGGTCCGCCTGCTCCTGTGGCTTGGATGGTCAAATGCACTTTCCAGGTGAGTGTGCTCGCTGCTAGATAGATCTATCTTTGTACAGAGGTTTTGTATTTGCATTACTGATGGAGTGACTGATTTCCAAGTGGGGGAATCAAGCAGCTTCCTTCATATTCCTGTGCTTTGTGAGTGTGTGTGTGTGTGTGTGTGTTAAATGACCTTTGGAATGAAAATATTAACAGAAAAGGAAAACATGATTGTAATTTATGAAATGTTAGCCCAGATGCCTCTAGGGGGGAGTAGACCTTTCAGTCTTTCAAGCTGATACATTGCTGTGGTGCCTGCATCGACACAGGTGCATTTAAAGAGTCAATTAAGGGAAAACTGTGTATTTACACAGGCTGGATTAATCTCATGTTTTGGCAACTTTCTTTTTAAATGGTTGAGACTGCTAGTATTGCTTAAAGATGTTGCTTGTTCAGAAAGTACTGGAGGAGGTACTGGAGGAAAGAAGTGAAGGCTGGACCTAGGGTAATAAAGCGTGGAGGTGGGCACGCTCCTCTGGGACTGGGCTGGAGCAGGCTGCAGGCTGACCAGCCAGTGTAGATGCTGGAGCAACCCTTGATGGTGGGCTTTGGATGAAACAGGTGTTGGCAAATGGCTGCAAATAATTATCAAATTGCCAAGGATACTCTCTGAAAGGGAACAAAGAAAGTGGGTACTCTCCTGGCAGTTGCTTTGTGCAATTCAATTTTCTGGGGAAAAGCCCTGAGTTTCTATCTTCATTCATTACTGGCTAGGAGCTTCCATGTAGGGCTGCAAAAACCTTAAAAACCTCTTTGAACTTTGAGGCAGATCAATGCAAAATGAAATGGGGGAAAATTGTTTATTGCTGAGGAAAATGCAGCACTGTGAATAATAAGGAACAAAATGCAGCTGAGGGCTCAAATTGAACCTCTATTATGCCTATGATTAAAGATAATGTGCTAGGAAGAGGGAATTACAGAAGGGCTTCTGCACTAGGTTAGAAGGCTGAAAATACTGTGATTGCTGCTGCTGAGCCCTCATTGGCCTGGCCTTGATATCTAAATCATAGGGCTATTACACAAAATGAGCTGGAGGCTCCGTCTGAAATGCAAAGCCCCTCTGCTGCCCAGCTGGCTGGGGGAAAGTGGTCCTGCGTGGGGCTTAGAGACAGCCTCCTTGCTTTCCTTGACAGCTAAAGGCTGTGGTGCTTTGCAGGGCTGAGGAGCTGGCGGGGTTCCTTCTTTGTCCTTTTGTTAGTGGTGAACAGCAGGTGAGCTCGTCTGATGCAGAAGAGAAGCAACGGCCAAAGCCATTTGCTTTTCTCCCCATGTTCTCTGTAGTGCTGAGCTGGAGCCTCTGTGGGGCTAGGGCTTGGATTATTAGAGTTGAGGCTTCCCTTGGAAAGCTTGGAAGTGCCAATGAAGGGGAAGAAAATGAAGCTGAGAGCCCGGGCACCCCCCATAAGTGCTGGTGCCTGGAGCAGGGGAGCCTGGTGGTGGGTGCTCGGGTGGGACTGGCAAGTTGTAGGGGCTGGGCTTGGTTATATCTGGTTGTAGGCATCATTACAACCCTGAGAACAACCATGAATGTATCCTCTGAGCATCTCTAATACCATGTGTAGAATAGAAGTATTCCCTTGGTGTACTTTGGTCTGTGCAGGTTATAAGGTCTTTAGCAGAAGTGTGCATGTATATGAAGAGATGTCAAATTTGGTTAATTTTTTTGGGCTATAGTAACATATAAGAATGTGTACAACATCCTTGGAAAGAAACTTAAAAAGTAGTAGAGGCCTCTTTATGGTTATCTGGCACCCACAAGCCTGAGCAGTGCACCCCTGTACAGTGGCACAGATATACAAATAAACCGCTTAATTTTACTTCAAAATTTCACAGTAGAGCAACTTTTTAAGAGGCTAAAAATGAAATATGTATAGGTCCATACAATCATTTACTGTTCCACATAAACCTGCAGTCAGTTCATGAGTGATTGTTTTGGTTTAAAAATTAATTTTTGATTTTATTGAAATCTGTGTCTCTTTATTGACAAAGGTAATGTATGGGTGTGCACGTGCAAGATTAAAGACATTCTCAAGAACAAATGTGCTTTTAAATAATTAGGGTTGTAAGCAGTAGCTGAGGAGTTATTTGGAAAACTTAATTACATTTCAAATTTATCTGAGCTCAGAATTGGGAGATACCGCTTTCTGTTCAGAACAAAATTGTTTTCCGTGAGGATGAGATGATCTCAGTGACATGTTTTTATTTAGTCGTCTCAGGGCACTTTCCACAAACTTCAGAACCACTCAGTGTCACGAGCTGTTTTCTCCGGGAAATCTTTTCCTGCTCCACATCCTCAGCCCCTGCGAGCCAGGGTATCTCCCGGCGCATCTCCCCCGGCACACAGGGGACACTGTCAGCCGCCCCTCAGCCTCCAGCCCAGGGATCCCCCACAAACAGCAGCAGTGACCCCGCTGCCCTTCCCCTCTCATTTTACGGGGGGCAGAAAGCATCCTTTACTGTCTCTGTTTTTCCAAAGCTTGAAAATCAAAGCACTATTTAATGTGTTAATTGAGTTGTTACACAGCTGTTTAACCAAACCTTACTTTTAAATGTAGAATGACTTAAATTCAGCATTACGGGGCACGCGGTTATCCGCTCAGTCCCCAGTCACTCAGGCCGGGCCTACCTGTCCCACAGCGCTGTGGCACTGCTTCCAGCTGGCCCTGGTCCCGCTGTATTTTTTGTGTTCCTGGGGCCATTCCAGCTGCTGCTGCTGCTCTGCATGCCTTTACCTGGGCCATTAATGTTGCAGCTGCCATCACAGTGCCAAAATGTGGCAGCAATAGTGCTAACAGCGAGCTCCTCCTGCAGAGGAGGATTTGGGGCCCTGGGCCTGGAGAAGCTGTTGAGGGAGAGTGGCTGATGCGCCCGAGCGTTGTTTGGTGGTTATGTGATTTTACTGAAAAATCGAGTGATGTGTGCAGGGTAAGCTGCCAGCTCCACGTTCTGTGCGTTTTTAATGTCCTTTAAGGAGGAAAAATGCTTTGAATTCAGAAGGCCCAGGCTGAGGTGCTGGGCTGTGAGGACTCCAGTGGCGGTGCAGCGCAGCCGAGCCCCGTGCTCAGGTGATGGTCAGCCAGGGAAGACAAGGCCATGGCTCCTCCTGTACGTCTGTGAGTCTTCCAGCAGGCCTCCATGGCTGATAAGACATGCCTTTGTGGCTAGCTTGTGCCCTTGGCAGGAGTTAGCGTGGCTGTGCTAGACACCCACCTCCCCCTCTCGTGTCTCCTTGCTTAATGCAAGCAAACAAGGTCAGAGGTACCCTAACTCCCTCCTCCTCTTTTCGCAGTTGTTCTGCTGTAATTTTTTTTTTTTTTTAAGAGCCGGTCATGTGTGAAATCAGGCAAAGGTTAAATTGCAAGGCTCTCTTAGCTAGGAAAAGATTTGACTCTTTGCCTGAGGCAGGGGTATCCAGCGTGAGCTCTGTATTGCTTGTTAGGTGCTGGCTTTCCACAGACAAAACCCGTGGGCAGCGTGACCTCGCTGCACCCGCTTGCTGCGAGGAGTGGCAGGTTTTAGGCCATCTCTGTAAATACATCTCCCACACCCTGCTAACACGTCCCACCAAGCTTCAGGCTGCCAAAAACATGCGTTGTATGTTTTCATTGGCTTCTGCCAGGAAGAAGTCGTGTGTCTGCCTGCCTCTGCCGAGTGGGAACAGGAGTTTTGAGATGTCTCTTTGGATTTACGCTGTTCCAGGTAAACAAAATTTTGTGTCTTGTGTGTGTATGTAGGGCATATGCTTGGCTTGTGACATGTCCACAAGTGCTGACTGATGGCCTCTGCTTTGTAAGGGCATTGCTAAAATGTAACTTCAGTTACATAAGTTCAGCCACAGTGGGGTTTATACACATGCAAACTGAAGGCATTTTGCCAGCAGCACAGTGGATGGCACGCTTGGGTTTGCTGAGGGAACCTCTAACTGAAATAGCTCTTCACGTGGCTTTTTATATTAAAAAAAAAAAAAAATGCAGCAAAGCGAGCCACCACCTTCCAGCTGTGGTGCAGGACCATCCGTATGGACCATCTGGCAGATCCCAGCGCCTGGCCGAGCCTGCAGGGCCCCGTGTCCAGTGACACACGGAGGGAAGCCATGCATGAATAGAGGCACAGCTCATTTTATCAGCAGGAACAGCGCTTATATTTGACAAAGGATTTTATAGCAACGGTCTTCTTCCATGAAGGCTCTGCATAGCTGATTTTTCTTCACGGTGATAGAGGCAGACCTCTCCTCTGCGTATGCTGTATTTTCTCATCCCTGTGTGGATGCTGCATGCTCCATTTTCTGGTCCTTTATGTGATGGTGAAGGAGGTGGTTTCTCTACCTGATCCTTCTGGATTTCTCTTGTGGTTTTTGGAACGTTTCTGATCCATCTCCATGTAGTTCTAGGTGTGTAAATACAGAGGAAAATTGCAAGAGGTCCAGCACTGCTTAAGTTTCAAATATCCATTGAGATGCGGCTCTCCTGGGCCATATCTCAAGAGTCATGGCTGTTGTCTTTCTTCCTGCTCCTTCTGGGCATCTCTATCCACCTAATAGAGTCACAAAACAAGTATGTTGATAATCAGGCCCCACATATGTTACAGAATAGCTCCAGACCTCTTGATGAAGCCCTTGCACCTATTTTGTGGTCACCCTTGGGTCACTGTGAGCCCTCCCTGATGCAGTCAGGGTCCAGCTCTGTGGACTGAGACTGGGGGAGCTGAGGCTGACACATCAGTAGCCACCTTCCTGGCAACTCACTGCCAAATTAAAACAGGAGCCCAAAGGAGAACTGAAGGCATACTAAGGCTGCTAGCATCTAGGGTAAATTATGGAAGAAAGCACAGCTGACCTTCTGCAGGCTGCTTATTTCTCCAGTGTCTGTACGCCATGTGCCCCCGCAGACAGAAAACAATCTTTGCTTTCGCATCGGGATTCAGATAAACAAAGGCATCATCGCCTACCCTGGGAGAGGCCGGGCTGTAATTGAGGTTATTAGCTCTGCTATTTTTCAGGCAGCAGACCAGGCTGGCAAGGGGCCAGCCCCCCCGGCTCCAACAGCATCCCGGCTGCTCCTGCAGCCCCCCTGCTTCTCCCCCCCCCAGGCTGCTTGTCTCCTGCTCGCAAGGGAGCTTTTGAGATGGCAGCTTGTCGGTTAAAAATGAAATGAAATTGTAATGACTGCAAAATGTCCCCCTTTCCACCCAATTGCCCTCTGGAGGAAGCATTGGAAGCTGGGGACTGTCCGAGCACGGTGGTGCAGGGGGATGCTTCCCACCTGCTTTACCTGGGCTGTGTGGTCATAAGGAGGAGAAAACAAACAGAATAGATATTTTAATTAAATGAATTCATCTGTGATTGCTTTTTAGTGGCCAGGGATGGGGAAAAGTGGCCGGGGGTTTGTTGGTTTTACTCTGTGGCAGCTTATATAGGTAACTGGGTTTGTATGGGTCTGGTAGAAACCGGTGCCTGGGTGCTGCATTTTGGGGCCCTTTCCAGCATTTCCAGACGTGCCCAAGCCTGGGTGTGGTGGGGGAGCTCCAGGCAGCAGCGCTGAGCACCACGGGAGCTTCACCGCAGGGTCCTGGCCTGGGGTGTGAGCACAGCCATGAACCAGGCTGCTCGGCGTGCTGTCCTGATTGTGTCACTTCTCCCCAGTTTTGCCCTTGGGACAGTGCCGTGTTGTGACACGTGGTGTTTGTGGGGGCTTAAACACGGCGCTGGGCCACTGCGCTGCTCCCTCGCCGCTACAGAGCCCACAGTGCCGTACCACCTCCGAGCCTGGTCGTATTTTGTGACCTATTGGATCGTTGCTTAAATAACTGATTTGGAGACACTGGATTAAATTGTAAATCAATAGCTAGGCAGTGTGCCTACCCAGAGAAGGGGCCGGGGGGTGCAATAATCAGAAGTGTTACAGCCCTTGCAGGTTTTGCAGCTGGAAAACGTGCTCCCTGTGGCAGAGCTCTGGAGCGACCTCCCACCTGTGAAATCCACCCGGAGATTTGCTAACTCCAGCACCTTCTGCTCAGGGTTCATCAAAGGCCTTTCCCTGCCTGGATGTCCTTGCTGGAAAGACTTGAGCCTGGAGCATCCCCAGCCGGGAAGAATGGAGCACCACGAGGGGCGGATTCGGTTCTGGTGTTGGTCTCATGGCAAGGAGGGACCAAAAGCAAGCATCTTGTAGCATCTTGTCGTTCGGCTGCGAGAAAGGTGCTGGGAACCCCGGCGTTCACCCAGGCTCTGCATTTGCTCCTCTGCTGGGTACGTGCTGCTGTGCTTCTGGACAGCCAGCCCAGCACCCTGCTGGGCTTTCTCTCCCTTCCTTACAGAAACCTTGTCTTCAGCAGGCACTTCTTCCTCCCGTGTCCGCTCACAATCAGAGAAGAAGCTGCAGTCCTTGTTTTGCCTGCCCTGCATCTTTATAGATTAACGTGGTGCTTCTGCCTGCCGTAATCTGATGAGGAGTGTGAGGTACTGGCATCCAGAAGTCAAAGTGATGGGTGCTTTGCGGATGTCTGGGTATCTAAAAATAGAGGCAGAAGACAGAGCTGCTCGTGTGTTTTAAGCAGAAGAACAAGCAATGAAAGCTTTTCCAGAAACGCTTGAGGGAGTAGCAGACTTTCCATTTAAGGCTGTATTATTTCATTGGATAATCTGATTAAACATGCAGGTTATGTGAGGACTTGATTCAAGCCTCCGTAGAAACTGCTGTGTATATGTGGAAGTGGCATCACAATCAACTACATGCGAGGGAGAGTCACGGTAAACACTTTTCTTGAGGCTGTTGCTCTGGAGAAATTGGTGGCAGATGCGTTGTGCCACCGTTTGGATAAAAGGGCTCTTCTCTCCCCGATGAATTGCTTTATGAACAGCTCTGAATTGTCCTTTTCCGAAATAATTGATTAAATCTGAGTCATCGGTACCGGGTATTTTTCTTTGAATGCGCCCTGTTTGGTTTATCCTGTTATTTACGTGCTGGGCGTACGTACACACACGCCACATGCATGTGCCCTTGCAGTGCCGCTGCCGCTGCATGAATGGACCTGAGAGGTGCTGAGGCTGCTGTTACATCCCTGTGATTTTGGTAGCAGTCCTGTGAGCTGTGCACACTGAATATATTTAACTCGCTGCTTCTTCTGTGCCTGAGCGAGGCACTTGCCATGCCCTGTGGTGGCTGTTTATTAGCACAGTTTAATGGCTGGCTATAAATAGAAATAAACGGAGGTGCAGACTGCGACCTGCTTGCCTAAGCTCTCTCCTGGGTCCTTGCCTGTGGTCGGTCTCTTTTTTATTTTTTTTTTTTCCTTTCCCCTTTTCCACAGCAATAAATAGTTAAAAGGCAATTACAATGTTAATTTGTTGTGTTAATGTGCTGCAGCAGGAAGCCGAAGGGAGCCGCGCGGGCGGACGCAGGAGCCCGTCAGTTCCCATTAACCATCCCGGCTGCTGGGGGAGTTCTCTGCCGTGGAAAAATGTGGAGACACAATCGGTGCGTTATCGAGTCTGACACCGAAAATGATGCAATCACGGTCAAGTGTCCCAGAAGGACCACGGCACTGAATAAAGATAAAGCCACTCAGCCCTTTCTTTCTTCGCTGGGGTCACTGGGAAGGGAAGGATATTATTAACCAAGCAATAAATCTCACTCCTGAGGTTTCTCTTTTTGGTTTTCTCTCCTGCAGCTCCCCTGGCTTGCTCTGTGGTTACGCGGGGATGCGGCTGGCACCAACATGCTGCCTTGTCCCCGTGCACAGGGCATCATGAGAGATGCCGAGCGGTGAGCATCTGTTGGGGCTGCACCGCGTTGCTTCTCCACGGCTCACCAATTCCAGACGCTGCCCTTTGCAAATCTTCCTGTGAGCATCCTGCTCTGGTCAGCAGTGAGCTGCAGCATCCATGGGATACAGGGGGGGGTCCCTGCATGGTGTGAATGTCCCACAGAATGAAATGGAGAGAGAAAGACAGCGACAGGGCTTTGATGCTTTGCATGGGCCATTTTTATGTGGGCCACATTTGGCCAAAATGGGTTTCAGTGCCCCCTTACAGTGCTCTTTGGGGCTCTCCCTGTTACCTACTGAAAAAAATAATTATTCTTGGCTTCAGAGTGGGCGCCTAGCTGTTCTTTTCATGGTTCTGAAGCTGCTTTTGTTGGTTTTTAGCATCCTTCTCCAAGCATATGAAGATTGCTTGTGTACCAGAGTGCCAGCAAGTGTGCCCACATTTTGGCTTATGGCTAATGTACTTATTCTATTTTTCCTGTCCTTGCTTCTGAATGATTATGAAGTAAAACCTGTTCCTGCAGTGCTCCATGTAATTTCTTGAATGATTAAATGCAGTCTTAATCAAATGCTTTTTGGTCAGGACATGCATGGATAGAGGAAACCAGTTCCCGAACCAGGTGACTTGCTGTTAATGGAAAATCCTTTTTCTACCAAAGCAGCAAACCTTCCAAGGAATTAAAACTCATTAGCCTCTCCCATTTGAGGGGGGAAGAAGCTTTTATGCATCAATTTAGAATCCATTTGCAAGCTCTCTCAAGGCCTTTTATTGCCACTTGGATCCAGTGAGAAGTCTCCCTAGTAAACAGGGGGAAAGTGCAGAAAAGCAGTCGTGATGTGGGGGGGAACTGGAATTTCCGAAACCTTTTTTTTTTCTTTTTTTTTTTCCATTTAAATACATAATGAAATAGTATATTAACATTCCAGGGTTCCTGTAAAGAGGAGAGAATTAGAAATTCAGTGCCAAAGTGTAGAATTATCAAAATCCAGGAGGATAAAAGGCGTGCTCCTGCTCATCACAGCCCTGGCCTGGCCCTGTGCTGAGTGCTTGCCCTCTGCTCCCCAGAAAGGATGAGCAAAACCTGTTTGTGTTAAAGTGAATGGTATTAAGCTGGAGCCCATTTATTTTTCAAAAGCTATTCAAGCACACAAGCAGAGCTATGTTAATATGCACAAAGCCAGGCGATGGCATGCTTTTTTCCCCCTCTGCATTGACTTTTCCTTTGAATTCCTGAGTGCTGAGAAGTTGCTCTTCAGCCACCTGTGGTCACACAGGTGCTCCCGTTTCCCTGGTTCACAACTGGTCTGAGACCCAATTTTTTCAGTGATTCAGTCCCTCAAATCTGCAGTTACAGCCAAGAGAGCTTGGATTTTGAACCTAAGTTGCTGAATTCAGTTTAAAATCCTGGGGGTTTGACTACGTAAAGAAATCCTGTTCTCTGTAAGTACCATGGGGTTGCTGCTGTGTCCTACTGAGTCGTCCTGCAGGTAGATTTGTTAGTGGTGGAGAAATTTGTTATTTTTTCTCGTGGCTGTGACAGGCAGGCTGTGGGGAAACAAATACTTCTGTGTTCGGCGCAGTGCCTGCCTCTGCGCAGTGCGTGAAGCTCGTGGCTGACAGCAACAATAAAGGGAAGCGTTGCTGGTTGTTCTCTCACCATTAACCTCTCCACGCACAGAGGGAAGGAGGACGTGGGGACGAGGCGTGTAGGATGGAAGGCTGTATTTTGGCTTTGCTGGGAGATGCTCGGCGTGTGCTGCACTGAGGGGCCACGTGTGGGAGGGAGAGGAGTGGCGGCTTGCTGGCAGAAAATCAAGGGGACCTCTAGACTGACTCTAAACGTGGCAGCCTGCCTTTACGAAGGGTTGGTAAGGACTGTCTGTATCCTGTTGGCATCCCCGGGGGTAGGATTTGCCCTTTGTAAAAATAAAACAAACAGGAAAAACATATGAAGTAGCCTGGAATAGAAGGGTAGTGAAAAATAGGGACATCAGCATTGAATTCCTGATTTACAAATGTGAAGCACTGAGATACCTCCGCACATCTTTCCCCTTACCACTGCTCGTTTGGATAACTCAGGTCCTGCGCGCCTTATCCTCGTCACAGGGACACAGCTCGTGCTGCTGGAGCTGGGTCTGCCGTGGTGCCTGTGAAGGAGCCTGGTATGCAAGACAATTTCCAGCTCAGGTTAAGACCCGGCAGGAAAAAAACATCTCATCAGTGGCCTTCCTGAGAGCAGAGATCACCAGCACAGTGTCGGTGCTGCTGCCTCCAACACCTCTCTTCTCTTTGGGTAGGGAGACAGAAAAAAAGGCAGCCAAGCTACCCTGCCTTTGCAATCAATTCCTGTTTAATGGTATATGTTGTAATAGCAAGGTGCATCACTTGAAGGTTCTTCTTTATTATTATTTTTTTCTTTATGTAGATTTAAATATTTTGCTGTATTTGCTAAGAGAGACCGATTGTTTACGGCCACAGAAACCTTTTCCTCTCTCTTGGCACTCTCCAGTGCCACACAGCTGGTGTGAATTTTGCTATTATCATCTGCAATTTAAAAAAATTAAGCCAATTTTAGAAGGAAAAAAAGGGTTTTCCACTAAGCCTAGCTCACCCCCCTGCCCTTTAAAACGTTATAAATAGAAAAACATCATCAACAAACTCCTTCACTGTGCAAGAGCCTAATTTCTTCCTCTCCGCTGGGATCTGGTGTGTTTTTCAGCCTGGCATTAATTGTGCTGTATTGTGTGCATTTTCTGCTTCACTAGTTAGTCAGATAGGCAGCAAATGGAGTCAGCTCTAGGTCACAGAACACAAAAAGCCAGCTCCTGCTGTCTCCCAATCAGGTAGAGATATTGAATTGGGCTTCGTGTAATTGAAAACATTAGCAGGCTGGAAAATAACCAATTCTTAAACACAGAAATCCTGAAATGCAGGAGGAAACAAACAAACAAACCAAAAACACACACAGAAAACGCAAGGTTTAAAATTCCTGATGGGTCTGATCCAGCTCCCACTAAAAGCTGTAAAAATTCTTCCACCTCTTGCCGTGGGATTAGATTCAGGTGCATGGAAAGAAATGCTGAAAGCATGGTGACTTAAAGGCAGAGATAAAAAAAAAAAAAAAAGGTGTGTGTGTATATATATATATATATATATATATATATATATATTATGATCCTTCACCCAAATCTGTGAATAAAATAAGGTTTACTGTTCCTATTTTTTCAATAGACATGCTGAGGCATAGGAAAAATGTAGTTTTATATGGTCTTTTTAAAAAAAAAATAAAAACGATCTGGACTTCTCTTGTTTACAGAAGGAATTCCTTGGCGTGTCTGATTTGTCCAGAGCTTTTCCTGTTTTTAACTTGATGCCCAGAGCTTGCCTTTAGTCTGTTCCCAATGCAGAGGAGATTCCTGAGAGGCAGCCCATGTCCCACTGGTGCAGTGTGCGCTTCCCCTGCCATCAGCTCGCATTTGGGACCTGCGCCTCCAACTTCCCAGTGCCGCTGTGCTTCCACCCCAGCTCCACGCCTGTGAGTCAGACGCTGGCCATTGCACGACCTGCTGGGAGCTTCTTTGTCAGATCCTCCAGAGCAGGGGATATTTAAAACTCACTCCTAATGACCTTAGGCAAGTAAATATTCTTGAGTAAAAGATGAACATTTCCATGCCTGTATGTGCATAGGCTGTGGGTTTTGTACATCCATAGCTACAAGTACTTGACCATCCTTTCCTCACCTTGTGTTTTTTTTTGTTGTTTGAGTCAGTGGTGATGGAGATCTCTGTGCCCATAAGGAGCTGCAGGGATAATACCTTCAAAAGCTTTGCTTTTTTACTTACAGCATAATGCAGCTGCAGGAGGAAACCAGAGGCCACAGCTCAGAGCAGTGCGTGTTGCAGGCAGGGCAGGAACGCTGCTGCTCTCGGGGATGGGCTGCTCCGCATGGAGCACCTCAAAACACCCACACCAAGTCCCATTCCTGATGTTATGCTATGGGGACTGGGAACAAAATATGCTGAATTTTCTGTGCAGACCCTTTTATTTTTTTTTCCTGGGGTACCTATCGTGTTGCTCCCCCCTGGCTGTCCCCGTGGCGTTCAGCACAATCTTGCACTTTACACTGTAGCATGCAAATATCAG